CAAAAATACCAGCTGTCTGCCATGCAGAGAGCTCTCCTTTCCACCGCTGCAGCCATGCCCTTCTCTGACTAAAACACTCGAGCGGCAACGCAACTTTGGTGGGAGCTGAGAAATAAATGACAAGTGTTTACCAAGCTGGCTTTTCCATAGGAATAACCCACTTAACACGCTAGAATTATCCCCCCCGACGTCTGGCTGGGCCTTCACATCAATAAATGGGCTCCTCAGCCTGGGATTAGCTCGGTGGGACCATTTCAAAAGCAGCAGCGGTGGCTCCGGCAGCTGAATTAACCCGGGATCCCCGCGTTATCCCGCGGCCATCGCGCCCAGAGCAGAGATGCTTAAAATGAGGCATTTCTGTTTGACTCTAACGTGTCAAAAACCCCACAAATCTGCAGTTTGTTTGGAATGGAACTGCACAGAATTGTGTGCAACCTGCTCGAGATGCCCCTGCTTGGGGAACCGGACCAGGCAACCCCAATGGCCACTCCCAACCTCAACCCTTCTCTGATCCACAGTATTTTTGCTCAACCCCGAGTTCTCTTGTGACAACTGAGATGGAGACGTTGCAAGTTGGACGCTGCATCCCCAAAGAGTCCCTTGATCCCTGGAGAAGTCCCCGCCGACGGCAAAGCCCAGCAGCTCTCAAGCCCAGCTGGATACCGAGGGCATCAACTCCAGCTCTTTCCCCAGGCTTTGCCAAATCAGCATTGGAGCTGATTTCTAGCACCAGAGCTACACAGACGGGCAACACTTGCTCCTCAGCCTGCAGGAACAAAAGTGAACCCATCACACGCACACTGAGTGTCTCTAACCCGGTCACCAGGGTGTTCCAGGGTTCTTGGGCCAGCACAGGGTGTCCTGGAGCTGCTTTGTCACCAGCCTGTGGCCTTTGACAGCCTCCTACACCTTCCTGGCCAAGCCAGGGTCCCTGTCTGGCCCTGCTCCTGCTCCCCTGCCCAGAAAGGGAGCTTCACTGAAGCTGCTGGAAGTCCATGCACTCCCCGGCTTCCCCCGGTCTTCCTTCCTAATTCTCCTCCTTGGAATTTTCTCTTCCAGCATGGGAACACACTCCAGTTGCTGGAGCGCTGCCTCCCAGCTCCAACATCCCCCCTAGCCCTCGTGTTCTTCGGCCTCGGTCCCCTCTTCGTCACTTCTCCCCCTTCGCTGCTCACTCACATGGAGCGGCCCTTCCTGCTTCTTCGGGAGGAGGAAGCAGCAGGAATTTTGGCCATCTCATTTCTGAGAAAAACACCGGTTCTTCTCTTGGAAAGCTGGTTCCATGGAAGCCGAAAGCCTGGAATGTCAAACCAAAAAAGCACGGATAGAAAAACACCCCATGCAGTGGGCAATGCCCTCGTTTACACCAAGACACGAGGTAAACCATGGAATTAGCCACGGAATCGCTACGAGACACCAGAGCTCTGCTTGGAAATTCCCGCCTCCGCGTGGCTCATCATCCAGGTCTGCTCTGGAAGTGAATCCCGAATTAATCCGAGGTTGCTGCTGTTTTCTGTGCACGTCAAAGCCCCCTTGCCCGAGCGTGGTGGTGCCCACAGAGCCCTGGCTCCAGCGGCGTGAAGGATGGAGGGGAGGGAGGCCCTGGTTTTCCGAGGAATTCCTGAGTCCAGGCGTTTTGTTCAGGACACAGAGGTGAAAGTGAGCAAGAAAACAAGACAAATAGCTGCACTCCGGGCTTGAAAAAAGCTGCTGTCAGCGCAACAAGACCTGGAAATTCATTTGTCTTTCCTTAAACAATGGAAAAAGGAGCGGCAATTACAGGAGACAAAACGAATTCCCCGGGAGCAGGGGCAGCTGCGCTCGGATTTGCATGGAAAGACAAGAACCTAAACAAACACACTCCATTAAAAGCAGGGAAAATTCAGGGCTGCGACACAAATCATTCCGAAAGCGGAGGGCGCTGCGCGGGCAACCTGCTAATTCCTGGGTTTATCTTTGCCACAGGTAAATCTTTCTCCATGTCACTTTGGAAAAAGGGAATTGAAGCCCGGGGAAACTGCGGATTTGCTGGATCACACCTAAGGATTAGAGCAAGGAACTCGGGAGAGGACGGAGGACCAAGAGTCTCCTCCATCCTCGAGTGTCCTGGAGCAGAAACGGTCAGTGCGAATGTGAGAGGATGCTCAAGCCCAAACCTGCAAAGTGAGCTCCAGCCATCACTTCCATTGGCAGCGGATCCCGAGGGAATTTTGGTCTGAAATGCTACATTTAGGTGCAAAAAGAAGGCCTTGGCCTGCAGGTCTGAGGTGGAATCGCTTTGACCTTGGGCATGAGGATGAAGTACTGAAAAGGCAACCCCGAGATCCCCACAGGGCCTTTATTTATTGCCAGTCCCCAGTCCTCTGAGCACGGGGAAGACGCGGGTAAAAAGACAGGGAAAGGGGGAATTTAGCACAGGAAGAGGCTGCGGGAGGTCAGGGGGGAAAAACAAACTGTGGAATTTGCCGTGAGCGCTGGAAATAAAAGATTAAAGATCAAACCTGGCACTGCAGAGCTGCCCCGAGCATATTGAGCAATTATGATAACTTTGTCACCTCATTTTGCCTCATTTTGCTCCTCATAAATATCACCTCGAAGGGAGGCTACTTGCAGCGCCCGCATAAGGGTCATCCCGAGCAGGAGGTTCAAATTGCTCCGTAGAAGAGCAGAGCACCAAAACGACACCCCCAAAACCTCCCTTATAGCTTTAGCCCAGTTGCAGTTAGCTATATAGCCTATTAACATATATATTATATATAATTCCATCCCCCTTGGCTGCAGAACCGAGCCCCGAGCACATCTTCCAATGCCATTTTCCCCTGGGCGCAGCCGTGTTTTACGTCACGGCACCCCCACGGGTTTAGTTCCACTTTTCTTTTTATTATTCAACTTTTTATACATAATAAATACAAACTTTTTACAGCCAATATAAAGAAAGCATTTGCACCTATGCTTTCAGTGTACTGACGCTGTACACGATGATACGTCGATACATGCCCTGTATGAAGAAATCATAGTTAAAAAGGAGGCATATTTTTACAACTTTTCTTCTTTTTTTTTTTTCTTTTTAAATAAAATTAGCAGCTCTTACAGAAAATATTTTCAAATACAACTAAAAGAGACTTATTAAATAACACTTTCGGAATTTGGAAAGTTCCAGGTGTGAAGGACACAGGAAAACTGGCCAAAGAAATCGGACGTGAACGTTATGGCAACGCTGGCGTTTTCTTCTGCGCGGCGAAGCTTGCAAAAGGTTTGCGAGCAGTTAAATCTTTTTAAAAACATTTTTTTTTGTCTTTTTTTCTTTTTTTTTTTTAAACTTAAGAACAAGTTTGATAAACACATAAAAAGACCTCGAACAGATCAACAGGACAAGAGGTGCAAAAGAACGAAGAACGTGGACCCCGTGGGAAGGAGGTTGGCGGCGCAGCCTGCGCTGGGCTTGACGAGTTTATGTGCAAAGTTGATGAGAAAAAATCTTGTTGGATGATTGTGGTTTGTAAATGCAGCCTCAAAAATAGCCCTTGTTAGTAAACTAAAGGGAGAAAATGCACCGGCTTGCGGAAAAGGAACAACAGAGAAAGAGGTGAACGCTAAGAGCGCGTTCAACATAACCCAGGTCACGGCTGGAAGAACCCACAGATCTGTGATGCTTTTTAATTGAAGCTTTGATCCGACACTCTTCTGGGAATAATTTGGTGATCGCACATAGGGAAACCTGCTGTCACCTCTCCCCTCTCCCCTGGCCATCGTTCTTCGTGTTACGACGCCGAAAACCCTCTTCCCTGTTCTGTTAAATGAACAAAAAGAGAACGTTTCCTTCTCAGAGATGTCCAATTTCAGATTAGCTTGGAAATTCTTTTACTCCCTCTTTCTCGCCTAGGAGTAACTCCACAGCGTAGACTGTTACCTTCCTCTTGGCCACAGAGGTGGCCCAAGGGCTTGGAAGAAACCAGAGATTTTCTTGCTTCCCTGGATTTGGCTATTCCATGGGTTTCGCACGGGAAAACGCTACACCCAATGCCCAAACTCTGCAATGCACGTCAATAGGCTAAATGCAACTTCTAACTCTAGCCAGATGTTCTGGGGACAAAGATATACTGCTAATGTGGGATAATAAAAGGACACGGCAATAACTGGGGTAAGAGGGACCCGAGGACTTAAAAAAAATCAAAAAGCCAAAATCTGCTAAGGCAAAAAAAAAAAAAAAAGAAGCTCAATTTCCAGATCTAGACAAAAATCTCGCTTACTTTTCTACCAGTTGGTTTATGCTATGGAACAAGATGTTGCTACTAATTCAGCACCTCTGTATTAGATACTCTATTACTAAATGTACTGCATAAATATTAATACAAAGAACATTTAGTTCTGCTTAACTGTTACTCATCGACGAGGTGTGCATTAATGGAATCAACGCCATACGACCCGCATCGCTTCTCCTTAGACGATTATGTTCCTTTTCCTTCCTTCTGCAAGGGGATTAAAGAGGAGCCAGCCTCTCCTTATACTCCAGTTCCCTTTTTCATTCCCGAAGATCTGATTAATTGCTAATCAGACAAGTAATGCTACTCGAAGGATTGACAATCTTGAACACATTCCTATGGCAACAGTAATATACTGTACTAATGCACGTGATATAAGGATGCTATGACTACGTTGCATGAGGGAGGCTCTTCCCGAAGCCTCCGTATAAAAAACGACCGCGTTGGGCCGAGAGAGCAGCCCGCTCCGAGGCGACTCCCTGCTCGGCCCCGCGTGGTTTGTGCTGAGAGAGGCAGAATGCTATATACAAATCAAATCGCATCAAAACAACCACCAAAAAAAAGGCACGAAATAGCCATGACTGTGGGAAGGAGTCCACCGCGTCACCGTCACATCAAATCCTCCCTATCTCTTGCTCTAGGAAAAGTCTTCATCATGCAAAGGTGCCTAAAAACGAAGAGCGACCAAATCCCCGGCTTGGTCCTGATTGTGGCCCTCCTGCGTGGCGGCGCCGGCGCTTACACCAGGGTGATTTCCACGTCCTCGATCTTCTCCGTGGGCCGGCGCTGATGCTGCGTCGGGGGCGGCGGAGCCGCTCGCACCTGAAAGGGCCAAAACCAGCGCGGAGCCATGAGAAAAATCCCTGAATCCCAGTGAGCCGCTGGAGCAAAGCTGGGCCCGTGGGCACGCGCGCCGAGATGATGCCCACGGGCGTTATATTAACATTAAATACAACTATATCATAGAATCACAGAATGCTGAAGGTTGGAAGGGACCTCTAGGGATCATCCAGTCCAACCCCCTGCACACGCAGGGTCACCTAGAGCACGTGGCACAGGACTGCGTCCAAGCGGGTTTGAAGATCTTCAGAGAAGGAGACTCCACAACCTCTCTGGGCAGCCTGTTCCAGTGCTCTGGCACCCTCACTGGCAAGAAATTTTTCCTTAAGTTCCTGTGGAACTTTTGGTGTTTCAGTTTGTGGCCGTTTCCTCTAGTTCTGTCGGTGGCCACCAGTGAAAAGAGGCCAGCCCCATCCTCCTCACTGCCTCCCTTGAGGTACTTCTAGACACTATGGAGGGAGATGAGCTGTTTGTGCTGCCCGGAGCAGTGAGAGCAGCCAGGGATCAACCCAGAGGGATCTTTGGACCCTGCATCGAGTGCTGGGAGCTGAGGCCACCTTAGCCTGGGGCTCGTCCCCCAGCAGGGACATCTCGTGTGGGATCCCCCATGAGATCCCAAACCCGGATCCGAAACCTGATGCTCTTTCCACATCCCCGGGGGTTTTACTGCTCCTGCCGGAGCTCGGCACCAACTTAGGACGTTTCCAGGAGACGCCGCAGCGACTCGCCAGGAAAAACATCCCCTGCGGAGGCCGGAGCGGCCGCGCGAGCCCGGCCGGAGCCGGCGCTTCCAGCGGGAGCCCGGCGGGATCCCAGCAAACGCCACGGCGGGTTTGAAGCCGGAATAAGTTAACGTGCAGCCGGCTCTGATCGATCCCTGGTGACCCAGCCCTGCCTCTGCCTCGGGTGTTTGGATGGATAAGGATGGAAAAGGACGGATAAGGATGGATAAGGTCGACTCAGGGGTGTTTGGCAGAGACCCGGGGGCTCTACCTATGCGACCAAGAGGGATCAGGTGCAGGGACACAAAATGCTTTTCCCGCAGCGTTGCTATTCCCTGACAACACTAGGAAATTACAGCTGGCAAATCCTGCTGTGATTTGATTTAGGGCTTTGAAACCCTCAGAAATTCAGTTTAAAATTAACCCTGGTGGATGGGCTTGGAAAGCGCTAATCGATGAAGATTTTTCCTTCCTTTTTCTTTTTGTGTGGCCAAATCTCTGCTTTTCGGCAGCGAAGACCCACAAAACAACGGATCTTGTCACTGGGTTTAATCTGCAACGCTCCCACCAGGGGCTTTACAACAACCTCAGCCCTGGCTGCAGGGGAGCCCTGAGGATTTAACACCTCTTTTTTACTTCTCTTTAGGGGATATTAAGGGGTTGACACCTCTGTAAGGTGGGTAAAGAAGGGAATCTCCCAGTGCTTGGAAAGACTGGCACCCAAAGCCTGTTGTGGGCCATGGGCAGAGTTGGAAAAACGTCCTCCCTGGTTAGATTTCCCGTTCACGTGTCTCGTGCAGAGACACACGGATATCAAAGCTATAAAAGCAGGTACAGGAGAGACAGGGAACAGGGGATTCAAGGTCACCTTTAACACACGCCTTGGTGTTTCAGCAAGGGCAGCCCTGTTTCGCTCGGGTGTTCCCTCACCTCACGGAGCTCTCCTGTTCTATTCCACGTGCAGGGAATAGAGCTTTCCTCAAGCCGTTCCCTTGGGACCCTGCGTTTGGGGCAGCTGCGTTTGCAGACCACAGAGCGAAGCTTTCCGGTGCGCTGCCCGAATTCCTCTGCGGATTTCCCCAGGATGGGCACAGCGTTGCCTGCGGGATCAGCAGCACAGCCCCAACTTACCGGCCGCAGTTTTCCATAGGAACCCTCGGGAGGGAGTCGTGGAGGCTGCGAGAATCCCGGGGACTCCGAACTGAAGCTGTTTTCTGAAAGATCAACCACAAACAGGCTGTTTGCTACTGCTGCGCTAGCCTTAGGCTGCCAAGAAATCCCCTTTTTTCCTTAGGAAACGTGGAAAATCTACACTGAAGGTACAGCCGGCGTGTTTGGCACGGCAAACTTTCCTACCGTTGGTGGATGGTGATCGGGGGAAGAACTGGGAGCCTCTTTTGTCGGGGCTGGGGTAGGGGCTGGCGGGCGGCTGGTCGTAGAGCGGCAGCGGCGGCAGCGCGTTGTTGGCCTTCGGCGTTGGGGAAACCTGCGTTGGAAAGAGGGAGCTGCTGCCAAAACCCCTGCTCCTCGGCGCTTCCTCCCAGCACACTGACACAGAGCGACTTATCCGGCATTATCCGACGGATTTCTGCCCTCCTAGCAAAAACCTGCCCAAGAAAATTGCTCTCGGGGATGGCTGAGAGAGAAAGCCAAGACACCCAACAGGGACGGTGTTCTTTTTCCATCATAGGTTGCCACTGAGCAAATCTTCATCCTTTCTCAGCTATAATTTAGAGGAGCTTTTTGAAGGTTATCCCAAACCCGTCATTTGGCCAAGATTGCCCCTCCGTGTACGGTCAGAAAACGCTCAGCTCCTGGGGTTTATCACAACACAAGGTTAATACGGGCTCATTAAACACTAACAGAAATGCAGCGGTGCCGTGACCCTCACGCACGAACCCCCAGTTCTGCCACAGCACCAGGATGGGATGGAAGGCTTTAAAAATTGCACCAAAATGAGGACATTGCAATAGGGTGAGGGACCGGAACAGAATATCCTATTGTGCCCTTCAGAAAATGGGAAGACATAGAATAAAGTATGAAAATATTAAATGAGGATTAAACGAGCCTATAATTCTTTTTGCCAGGCTCTGCTTGGTCTCTCAGTCTATGCCATAAATTAATTCTAGGGATTAGATTGTGAATTCTCCCCTTTGGTTACAGCGCTGGGTAATTACGAGGCTAGATAAGAAAGCACAAAATAAAGGTTCATGATATTTTCTTCTTAAACCTGTTCTGATTTTTATTCCCCAAAGAGGAGGCTGATCTTTGCAGCCTTGCAAGACCTCCCCATTTCTTTGTTATCTAAGGTCACATTTTCATAACATCTGCTACGTTAACAGCCAAAGAAGAAGATGGAGATGGTTAAAGCTCCTTGAAAAGGGTCGACCTCCCCAAAATTAGGTTTTTTAAAGGAAAAGGGTCCAGCAAATTGGGCTCCTGGACCTGCTTTCACACACCTGAATATCTCCAATCCACTGAGTCTCTCCGTTTTGTGCGGCTGTCAGTTCTTCGACCAGCACGGACGGGAACACCCCAACGCGGCCGTTGAATTCCCCTTCCCAAAAGCCGTCGTCGTCTTGATTCTCCTTGTTCAGGATGCGGATGATGGCTCCTTCGGGGAAGGACAGCTCGTCGTCCGTCTGGCCCTCGTAATCATAAAGTGCTTTTACGAAACAGACTGCAGAAAGGGGGAGAGAAGAAAGCAAAATGGGCGTGAGTTGAGGAAAAAAAATACGCCCTGCACATAATCCCTCGCTCATTTTAATTTTCTTTAGCTTTCTTGAACTTAGCCCAATTCTATGAGATATCCAGGTAAACGATAGAAATTTTTCTTAAAAGCTATAGGATTGAGGGAGCTGGGCCTGTTCAGCTGGAGAAGAGAAGGCTGAGAGGGGACCTGAGCAGTGTCTAGAAGTACCTCAAGGGAGGCAGTGAGGAGGATGGGGCCGGCCTCTTTTCACTGGTGGCCAC